TGGCCCAAGCACGAGAAGTCAGGAACTCCCAGAGAGGATGCAGACACCGGCAATTTGGACACAGACAAACACACAAGTAATTGCCAGGTGTTGGGGGAGGTAAGCGCGGCCTCCCAGCTTACGAACATGGCGGCGAAATTCTGTGTCTATTATGTATATTATTTATTTATTTATTTATCTATTATTTTGTCGGTTTTTGTCTTTTTTTATCATTACAGTTGTTGATATTAGTATTATTATTGTTTTGTTTATAATTTATCATTATTATTATAATTTATCATTATTATTATAATTTATCATTATTATTATAATTTATCATTATTATTATAATTTATCATTATTATTATAATTATTATTATAATTTATCATTATTATTATAATTATTATTATAATTTATCATTATTATTATAATTTATCATTATTATTATAATTTATCATTATTATTATAATTATTATTATAATTTATCATTATTATTATAATTTATCATTATTATTATAATTTATCATTATTATTATAATTTATCATTATTATTATAATTATTATTATAATTTATCATTATTATTATTACTATCATCATCATTATTATTACAATTGTTATCATTATTGTATCATTATTATTATAATTTATCATTATTATTATAATTTATCATTATTATTATAATTTATCATTATTATTATAATTATTATTATAATTATTATTATAATTTATCATTATTATTATAATTTATCATTATTATTATAATTTATCATTATTATTATAATTTATCATTATTATTATAATTTATCATTATTATTATAATTTATCATTATTATTATAATTTATCATTATTATTATAATTTATCATTATTATTATAATTTATCATTATTATTATAATTTATCATTATTATTATAATTATTATTATAATTTATCATTATTATTATAATTATTATTATAATTTATCATTATTATTACAATTGTTATCATTATTGTATCATTATTAATGATATTGTTATTATTACTATTATTATTATCATTATTATTATAATTATTATTATAATTTATCATTATTATTATAATGATGATTATTATTAATCAATATTATTATCATTATTATTATTACTATCATCATCATTATTATTGCTTTTCATGAATATCGTTAAAATCGATGTTACTTCTGTTGTTATCATCATCATATTTTATATAGTTTTCGTCCCTTCTAGAATATCTCCTCTTTTCTCCCCCCTTTTTGCGAATGTGAGCAAAGAGTGTCTCAACCGTGTAAAATTACCACGTCACGCTGTTATCCAAACTACAAAATACAAAGTAACAAAAAGGGCTGTAGGTGACGCGGCTGCGGTTACAGCATGTGCGTACTGTGGAGAAGGAACACATGACATAATTGTTACTAAGAATGTGTGTGTGTGTGTGCTTTCATCTACGTATGTGTGTGTGTATATATATATATATATATATATATATATATATATATATATATATATATATATATATATATATATATATATACATATGTGTATATATATATACATATGTGTATATATATATATATATATATATATATATATATATATATATATATATATATATATATATATATATATTTTTATATATATATATATATATATATATATATATATATATATATATATATATATATATATATATATATATATATATATGTATGTACGTATCTGCGAGCGTATGTGTGCGTGCATTCACAACAGACTTTCCCGCATTTCGTCCACCTCTCCTCCGGCTCGTGTGCATTGTTGCCAGCTGGGGCACACATGTCCACGACTGTCCAGGAATTCTTAGAGCGGGGACGGGAATTTCTCCTTCTCATTGTTCCTTACTTTCCACCAGAACAGCTTTCGTGTATTTGGAGCCGGCCGGCAACTGCACGCACACACACACACACACACACACACACACACACACACACACA